GGAATAGAAAAAATTAGAGTTTTCTTTTTCTTGGGCGGAAAGTAAAGAGAGTTGGAATGGAAGTAGGGTTTAGCTAGGAAATAAACAATTAATCAATAAATAATCATGGAAACAGGAATGACAAATTTAGGCTTTGATTTTATCTCATTTCTGGAATGGTAGTGGTTATTGACATTATTGTTTTAGGGGTAAATTAGTAAATTTGAAACGTCGATACTAAGTTCTAACCTCAGATTTGGGGCAAATTTGAATTGGACCATGCCCAAGCAAATATCGGCCGCTAAATTTGCCCATTTGGACTTGGGTCAGAACAACAAAGTAACCGAGAAAAACGACGACATTGACCAAAGAAAACAATTACAAAACGACGTTATTGAACAGAAAAAAAAAAAAACCAGAGAAAACGACGACGAGCCAGATGTGAGAAGCAGGAGAACGTAACCGAGTGCCATTCTGTCCCAAAAAAAAAAAAACGGAGAGCCAGATGCAGAGGTAGCAGTGGTATTGAGATTCCGAGAGGACGAAGAAGGTGTTGTTGGTAGGGATCGAGCAAGGAGACCATCAGAGATGGGAGAGGTGGTTGAAACCCTAGAGGGCCATAGAAGGTCGGTGGCAGCTCCTCTCGTCTTCATACTCGTCGTCGTTTTCCAATTTGTGTCCAGGTGGCTGCAACAGTTGAAGAAGGTACTTGCTTCAACGATTATCGATACGCATTTAAGAAATTAATGGTAATTTGGCGTGAAATCATTCTCTTAATCATGTTCTTGATTCATTAATTGTATTTATTCGCAGAGGGGCTTTTGAAGGAGGCAAGCTCATTGTCACAGTGAGTGATTCTTACTAATTAAATCTTATTTTCCATCAATTTAAATACATGCTATATTAATTTTGGTTTTTGGGTAATTGCATCTTCAAAGTTTTTACATTTACACTAGCAGGACTATGATCTTATTTTTGTTGAATCCAGGCCTTCAACATTTGCACAAGCTGCAAAGCTAAGGAGGATGGCAGCTGCTAAGGAGAAAGAACTTGCAAATTGTACTAGTTGCTGCAACTCCACCCATTCAATTATGTTTATATATGTTTATAAATAATTATTTGCAACATGCTTGGGTTCAAATTTGTGTTTGTATAGCAGCCACATACACTTTAAGAAGATGAAGTTGTTAAGCGAAGGGTTGAATGTTTAATACAGTTTAGGTAGTTGTTCAATGTCTTTAATTACTAGGTGTCCCTGTACATTCATTTTATTGACTCAAATATCAATCTCATTCAGAGATATGAGTGGTTGATTATTTAGATTAGCCAACTTGCTGTTCTTTTATTTTTATAGCATATACTCTTAATTCCTATGTTCTCAGTACAAATTTAGAAAACATAAAAGATCACTTGATATAAGTTATTGCTACATTTACTTAGTTTAATTTTTACTTCTTGTATCTATCCCCCCTCCGTCAGCCCCATGCCCGGTTATATTTTCCTATCTTTCATAGCTTCATTACTCTCTTGTGGCGTGGTTTTATTTTCTTAGTGGAGATATGGTGCCCTAGTATGGATGGGAGATTCTAACACTATTACCT